GTAGAACTGCCCCAGTATTGTTTTGGTGTAAAATGTTAACTTCTACTAGCTCTAGTGAGGGAGAATAACATTCCTCATTTGCAGCAGAAGATATAAAACAAAATAATGAATACCTCTTTTTTTCAGATAGGAATTTACATCACTGAGAATGAATGCATCTTCTGTGAGGAAAGCTGCTACTCCTTATACTGCAGCAGCTGCAGACTTCTTTTTGCAATCTTGAAATTTCTGAGCTCAAGTTTCTCCAAGTAAAGCTTTGAGAAAAATAGTGTATCTAAAGACAGAACAGCTCTAATATAGCTTATGTTTTTTATTTCCTCTGAAGACTCTATCTTCTTAGGTACTACTAGACACCTAGCAATGAAGCTGGATTAGAATTTGACAATAATGTGTTACCATATCATAAACATCAGGTGCCTCAAGTATTAAGAATAATATGTACTTTATCTTAAAATGCTGCAGGACTGTGTAGTACAGCAGCTACAGCGGTTCCCAGCTTGAGAGATCCTTGCAACACAGTCTTTTTTTTCTCAGCTGTTGTTTAGCAAAATCTGTGACTTCCATTTTCTTTATTCATGCCTGTCTCATTCCTGATATCTTTGCAAACTTCTCCAAGTTGCATCACAAGTATAATAATAAATAATCTGTAGGATGCCCAACACTATTTGCATATGTAGTTTTCTACATTGCAGTTATTTCACTTTGAGGAACCTGTTTCCAGACCCTATCTGTTTAAAGAAACTGTTTCCCTATGTCCATCTGTTCTCTTATCTACTGTAAACCTGCAAGAAGAAATTTCAACTGGCTCACCCAGGTAAATGTGAATTTTTTGGTAGGAGAGATATGAACATATATGTGTATTTTAGTACATGATATTTCTTTTTCTAATGTCTGTTCCTCAAAATAAAGCAAAATTCTATTTCTATTAGTCAGGTGAGTAGGTCAGCTTGATTTTCTCACCAGAATGAGATGAACAGAGTTTACCAGTAGTCCTTATGGTCTGAGTAAACAGAAATCTTCTTTTGGCCGTGTAGACATTCCACCTACTCACACTTTCCTCTTTTTCCACCCCAATAAAAATTAATAGTTTGGACCGTGATTTAAAGGTCACATAGAATTTTAAATCTGGCAATGACAATTGTATAGCACTGGTTTATATTTACATATTTTTAACAAACTTGTGTTTGAAAGCACTGTTCTTAAAGTATGCTTAGAATATGATTGTTGAAGTTAAAAGCCATGAAACATGTCAAAAGGGTAGCTGTCTTAACTTCCCAGCATGTTACTAAACGCTGTTCTTCATACACAACCACCTCATGTGTGCATCAAATCACAAATGGTCTCTTTTCAGAGACCTTAAGCACTTGCAAGTCTCTTATGCCAGTAAAAGCTGAAAGTACACAGCAACCTTGGCTGTCCATTCAAAATTTTAAACATACATGTATGCATGCATGTATAAATTACTTCAATTTTGTGGTACTGGAGTTCATTGATTCATATAGTAACACGTAACCAAGGCATATAGCTGGATGCTACAAGGTAGTGAGTAAACACACAAGCTGTTAAACTGTGTGACTAATGCGTAACATAAGTCACTTAAAGAGACGCAGGATTACACCCCTCTTACACATACCTGGCACTATTTTATTCAGCTGCTGGTCGTTCTGGGTCACTCTGAAACCCATAGTCACTAAATAACACTTTACTCTGCAGGTATTGATTGATACAAATTGGGCTATCTGTAGAATAAAATACTGTTCATGAGAAATAAGAGAATCATACAGCCTATTGACTTTATTAGCTCTTAATAGTAAGCAAAGCAAAAAAAAATGTTTATGCACTCCTAATAGGAGTGAGAAAATTCAGATCTTACTGAGAAAGAAATTATTTATTTGGTTTTAAATATTTATAGACCTAATGGGATATACTAAGTAATAATAATATAATATTTAGCATGTGTATATATATATATATATATACCCAAGTAGATATATATGTACATATATATATATAAACATAAAGTTTTAAATAACAGGCTCCTGCTAGAAAACTCTGCCATTAAAGACTTGCTGAGAAAACGAGAGTAAAGAAAAGCAGTTCCATTGTATAAATTATATAGTGAGATTATCATGGTTCAGTAATATATCTGGAAACACTAAAGTGAATATTCACTAGAGAACCCTTACACAATCACTTACCTATCCTTTACTGAGGTAAGGAAGAAAACTGCTTTTCTGAACTGACTAAAGAAAGGAGATGATAAAGCAGCTGTTTGGATTCCGTATCTTTTTTCCACTAGCTATACTTTGATTCCTAACTGTGCAATTTACTTTTCCAGACACAGGTTTCCTGGAGTGATTAAAGACATAGTAGATCCAAAGAGAGGACTGATCCTTTACTATTTCTCCCTAAGTCTGCAGTTTGAATTTTACATGAGGCAGAAGTAGAGGACCAGACACAAAGCAACGTCTACATTCTAAATGCAAATTATATGAAATTTACTCTAGGGATGTGAAGATGGAGCATACAGAAGGTATTTTAGTAATGAAAAATTATAGTGAAGAGGACCAGATTTTCCTATTGAATCACTTGAAGTTTGGGCCTTTCCTAAACAGAAAACAACTACTCTGTTTCATACTGTGTATTTGTTTTGTCAATACAACTACAAAATATAGTATCAATAACTATGCTTGAATAGGTTGTTGACTAGAGAAAAATGACTCCTAATCTACTGGCTGGACCACCTGAACATCCAAAATACTCTGTAGATATTCAGGGAAAACAAAAACAGTATTAGATATACCAGTGTGTGATGTAAGGAGCTACTGTTAACATTTTACACAGTTGTCAAAATGAAAACTCTTATAGAAACCACAACACACCTTTTTAATGGAGGAAATTCCTCTTTTACCTTTATATAGATCTCAGGAAAAAAAAATAAATCATGATTGATATTATACAGTGAGAACTGTAAAATAAGGAATCATATATTCCATAGGGATTTTACACTACAGTTGAATCTTTACTATTCAGTAGCATCAATACATAAATTAATTGCTTTATATAGACATTACATGGTTGTAGGAAAGTATAGTTTTCTGGATTTTAGTAACTGTTACACTTGTCAGTAGGAAAAAAATGTGGATTTGTTTGGGGTTTTTTTAGCATTCTGACAACTCCATTTTACAGTAAACACTTTAACAAGTGTCATCGAAAGTTATTTGTTTTTTAAAGCATGAATTATAAATCAAATTATCTCCGATTGTGCCCTAACTTAAACTCTTTCCTGAAGTGTCACTTTTTATTAAAATCAGTTTCAGATTCTAAGTATTGCTCCGCTCACCTAATTGATAGCAACACAAATTCATGATAGGCATAAAATGAAATTGTTTCTGTGACACAACTCAATAGTAGATTGAGGATTAGTTCACAGTGACCTTGTGCAGACAGCTTTTTTTCTGTTGTTTTTTTTTTTTCTTTTTTTCACAGTTATAAATATTCAATTTACAGGCCATTAGTTATTGGAATTTTGGTTATTTAACCTGCCAGTTACCAATGGCCACTTCTATTTAGTTTAAAACAGTAGGAGCAGCAGCTGGCAGCTAGAACATTCGGTGCTCACAGACCACAGGGTATGATAACTCCAAGGAATTCTGAATTTTCTTTTGGTACATCATGTGTCTATAACGCAACTTCTTTCCCACTAGCTGCATACACAAAACAAGTCTGTGTCACTTCTGATACACTCAGCTCAGTCCCTTATGACTCAGAACAGCATATTAGGAGAACCACAGGATAAAACAGATCTGACATTTCAAATATATTTAATAGTCATTATCCAGAGCCCGCTTTCAATCCAAATGTTAAAAATCACTCTGGAACATCTCTGTAGTATTTGAACATTAAGCTGCATTAATCATGAAGCAATACTTTAAATTTAATCAACTGAAGCCGATCTGCCCTCACCTTCACTCTGCATGTTCACTTCTCTGGAATACATCTTCTAAGTTTGAACTTTAAACTACCTACTAAAAATTAAGTCATTCTTTGATTAGCATCCTATATCAAATGGTCCAAATTCTGCCATTTCTCACATTCACAGAAGTCAGTAGAGGACAGTGTGGACATAACTGGCAGCAGAATGCAGCCCAGCTGCAATTTCTAAATGAGCTTTGGTAGGAGACCGAGTATGTAAGTCTTTCACTATAAAGCAGTCTTCAATATTGACTCAGGCTACTGGAAATCTGACTAGTTGTTTTGCTGGTTTATGACAAGATTGGAGTTCTGCTAACATTTGGGGGTAGGAGGGAATCACCACATACATTTTATTTCTATTTGACTAAGCAGAATTTTCAGTGCTTAAGGTTTGGTTGTTTATGGGGAGAGGAGGAGGCAATGGAGCCCAAACAATACTGTTCTGTGTCAAATAAAATATATTTATGGATCTATATTAGAAAGAAAGAATTTTTTTTAAATTAAAAACATACATCATGGAAAGATAGCTCATATTTACATAGAGGATTACAGGGCTATAATACGTTGTTGCAATAGATGTCCTCAGTGTGTAGAATTTCTCCCACGTCCTGTTAGTTACTGCAGATAATATGACTGCTTCAGAAACACTGTCCCCCTTCTCCACCCCAAACCAAAGTGAAGTGAAACCTGTGGAAGCACCCACCTCTGTCTGACAGTCTTCTGGGAAGACACCCCAGCATGCCCCAAGTGTACTAAACACCTGCCTACACTTTCACTTGCCCCTCTTTTACACTGTGTGACTGGTTCAGTGGGCATTTACTTGTGAAGCCCATGGGAAAGAACAGTGTGACAACAGAACCAGACCCGCCAGATGTGGTCAGTTTCCACTTTCATTAAGTCCACCTCTCTTTAGTGACTTGTGTTGGTCCCTTCAGTGGTGTCTTAAAGCAGATTTCACTGCAGAAAAAAGGCAAAGTTAAACCAGTGTCTAAAGTGAGGTCCAGGGTATTCTAAAAGCCTCCTACCTGAATTATGGACATCCGGCTCTGGGGAGCCTCGCTTGCGTTAGTCCCTTGCCCTGTGAAGCTGGTGTGGCAGCCCACATGTCCCTGGGGTACAGTCAGGTTGTTGGAGGCGGGCTTCAGGTACATCACCTCAGACCTGGGAGAGCTGAGGGGCAGGCGGGTCTGGTAGTCAAAGTACATGGGTGAGGTGGCCAGGGATGGGCTGCTCACCACGTTCATGACATTGAGGGGGCCCCGGCTGTCCTCGCCCTCACTGGGCACCAGCATAATGTCATTCTTGCTGATCTTCTTCTTCTTGCCCTTGCCCCCTCCACTGCCACTGCCTCCTCCTCCCCCGCCACTGCCTCCCCCTCCTCCCAGCTGAGGGTGGCTATACTCAGCAATGCGACAATTATAGGTGCGGATCTCCTTGTTCTCTCGCTTGCACTTCACAGCAATAGCAATCATGGCAGCCAGCAAGATGATGGACACAGTGCTCAGCGTCACGATCAGGGGCAGCGACAAGTCCCAGTGTGGTCGCCGATGCTGCTCACCGTTCACCTGTGGCTCGCCAGCCTCTGGCAGGGGCCCTGCCAAGGCCCTGACAATGAGCTTAGCCACTGCAGAGAGGCTGGGCTTGCCATGGTCACTGACTTTTACCACCAGTTCAGCAACAGGGCTGAGTTCTTCCCAGTAGGGATGCAAGGTGCGTATCTCACCGCTAGTAGGGTCCATCTCAAAGAGGTGTTCCTCATTGCCTTCCACAATTTCGTATGTGAGGCGCCCACTCTCCCCAAAGTCACTGTCCAGGGCACGGACGGTGCCCACGGGGTAGCCCACCCCAGCATTGCGAGGCACCTGCAGTTCAGCGGTGTCATTGATGAGGGCAGGCAAGACGATGAGGGGTGCATTGTCATTGACATCAAGCACAGTGACACGCACTGTGGCATTGCTTTCACGGTGGGGTGAACCCGAGTCTTTGGCCAGCACACGAAACTCAAAGTGCTTTGTCTGCTCATAGTTGAAGCTTCTCAGGGCATAGATAGCACCATTGGTAGGGTTGACAGAGACATAGGTGTAGATAGAGACATCTCCCACATGCCCGGGCAAAATGGAGTAAGAAACTGTCCCATTTTGGCCCAGGTCAGGGTCCTGAGCCAAGACAGAGCCCAGGTACTCTCCAGGAATGTTGTTCTCAGGGACCTGTAACACATAGAGGTTCTTACTGAAGCGGGGTGGGTTGTCGTTCTCATCAAGGATCCGGACAGAAAACGACTTGGTGGAGTTGAGAGGGGGGTTGCCCCCATCACGTGCCACAATGGTCACATTGTACTCATCCTGTGCCTCACGGTCCAGGGGCCGGTCAGTGACAACAGTATAGAAGTTGTCATAGTTTTCCTCCAGGGTAAAAGGAACAGCTCCTGGCCCACCGCCACCACCCAGTACTCGGCACTGGAGCTGTCCATTCTTGCCCGAGTCTCGGTCAGTGACCCGCACCAGGGCAATGACAGTGCCTGGTGGGGCAGCCTCACTCAGTGCTCCCTGGCGAACAGAGACAAAGCCAATGGTGGGTGCATTGTCATTGCGGTCAATGAGGCGGACAGTGACCTTGCAGTGAGCAGGGATGGGATTGGGCCCTAAGTCCCGAGCCTGGACGTCGATCTCAATGAGGCCACTCTCCTCATAGTCCAGGTTACCCTTGACACGGATGAGGCCGCTCTGTGGGTCGATGCTAAACAGGTCGCGGACACGCTCAGGTGCATAGCCACTGAAAGAGTAGAGCACCTCTCCGTTGGTACCCTCATCGGCATCAGTGGCATTAAGGTCAATGACAGCAGTGCCCAGTGGTGCATTCTCAGGCAGCTCTACCACATAGGAAGCTGCCTCAAAGATGGGGCTGTTGTCATTGGAGTCAATGAGGCGAACGTTGATCTGCACTGTGCCCGAGCGTGGTGGGTCACCACCGTCCAATGCCGTCAGCACCAGGGTGTGGTGGCTTTGCTCCTCACGATCTAATGGCTTCTGGATGACCAGCTCTGGAAACTTTGTGCCATCACCTCGGGACTTCACATCAAGGGAGAAGAGGCCGTAGTCATCACGGGTGAGCAGGTAGGTGCGCAGCCCATTGTCTCCAGCGTCCGGGTCGTGGGCACTGGTGAGGGGGAAGCGGGTGCCTGGTGCAGCATTTTCTGAGATGTCCATATCCACTTGGTCAGAGGGGAACGCTGGTGCATTGTCGTTCAGGTCCTGGATCTCCACCTTGATCATGCAGATCTCCTGGTCGTTGGCGAACACCTCGAGGGAGAGCTGGCACTTGGTGCTGCGCCGGCACAGCGCCTCGCGGTCGATGCGCTGCTTCGTGTAGAGCAGCCCGCTCTCCCCGTCCACGTCCAGGAGGTGCGGGGCTGAGTTTTCCAACACCCGGAAGGTGGATTTAGGGCCGCGGCCTCCGGGGCCGCCTCCGGGAGCGCTGCGTTCCGCGGGCAGCATCCCGCCCCCCGCCGCTCCCGCCGCCAGTCGCGCATCGCGGCCGATGTTCCCGATGACCGTGCCTGCTCCCTGCTCCTCCGGCACCGAGTAGTTCAGGTTCTTCAGCGACAGGGCGGGAGCCCAGCAGAGGAAGAAGCAACAAATGGAAAGGTACATCCCCGAGAAGGGGTGGCGGTTGCAGCAGCTGCAGCGGCGACCAGGGTTGTCCCCGTCTTCTCTGCCTCCTGCTATGGGTTTGTTCTTCCTCCTCCTCCTCCGTCGTCTCCTTTTTTTTTTTTTTTTTCCTCCTTTTCTCTCCCCACCCCTATATTTTAAGTTCCTGAACCTGTTGCTCTAAGCATCTGCAGAGACACAGGATGCGAGGCAGCAAATAGACCATGTAGCTCAGAGGGAGGGAGCAATCGGGAGGGGAGGAAGGCGGGAGGGGAGGGGGAGCGGGGGCAGCAGCTTCGGCAGCGTTTCAACTAGCGCTTGCCGTGCTCTGGAGTCCCCTCGTAGTCACTTCGGCTGTCCGACTTCGGCAGTGGGAGGATTGCAAAAAATCAGAAAATTTGCAAAAGATCTTCTCCTCCTGGCAGATGAAGCGTTTCCCGATCCTTGAATCCCCGCAGATGTGCAAAGGGTAATAAAAATAATAACAATAATAAAAAAATTGCGGCAGTGGCTTTTTTTTTTCTAAAAAACGATCAAAAAATATTTTTTTTTAAATATGTGTATTTATATATACATAGGAAAGGGGGGTGGCCACAGATCTGTGAGCAGGAGTAGAAAAGCCTATTTGCTACTCATCGCCTGTGATGCTGTTGGTGGAGTGGAGGGGTGGGAGAGAGACAGAGAGGGGAAAAAAAAAAAGGCTCAGCTTGTTGTTGAAGCCCTCTTCGTGTGCAGTGAGAGGCAGTGAAATGTCTGATCGCACCGCGCGGATGTTGGTTTTCAGGGAGTGTTTTGCTGCATTTAGAGATCTAATCTTGCATTGCTTGCGGCGGAGAGCTGCATCTCCCTGCCACCGGTATTTCCCTCTCCCTGTATGTCTCGTACACCCTCACTGTTTCCCTCCCGAATGAGAAGGGGAGGGAAGGAGGGTTGCAGGGCAAGAGGGGAAGACAAAACAGGGGAAAAAAAAAACACAAAAAGGCAGAAACTGTGTCCTGATTTGTAGTTTCCTTTTTCACCCTCTACTACCAGCCCCCCACTCGTCCTTTTGCTGGGGAAAAAAATTATAAACTCATCATCTGACCGTCATCACTAGCAAGATAAATATACGTTTTGATAGAAATCAGGGGCTCAGTCAGAAGCACACTTGGTTTCTTTAAGACAGGCCAGTAGCCGCCGCCACCGCCACATCCTTTCTCTCCGGGAGTCTATGCGTGTGTGCGGATGCGTGTCTGAGGAGCTGCACTTTTCTCGATGCAGTTTAATTCCAGTTTGCTTTTCTCTCCAGCCGAGAGGAAAGCAACAGGCAACCCATGGATGGATGAATAGACTTTACAAAAAACAAAAAAAAAACAAAATAAAAACAAAAAAAAAACAAAAACAAAAATAAAACGGAGAGAGAGAGAAAGGAAGGGGGGAGGGGGAGAGAGAAGCCAACACACACACACTCTCCTAGTGTCTCGCTAAAAGGGAAACAGTCTCTATATTCACAGGGCTGCGCTATCAAGTGCCCCTTTTCTTTCTATTCAGTACCTCCTTCCAATGACACTGCCGCCTATTCCTCTTCATTTAGGGGAGGGGAGAAGAGGAGGAAAAACAATCCTGGCGCTGAATAAAGTGGGAGACCCTTTAATCAACTAATTCGCTTATATTAAAAGCTATGCAGTTCCGCGATTGGTGTGAAGCATATTTTACTGTCTTTTCAAGCTTTTATAGTCTCCCTGAGCCCAGATGCATCCCAGCGCCAGATGCATTCCCCTCTCCCCTCGATACGATGTATGGGCAAATACTGGACAAGGCCAACTGAATTATATCTCAGGTTCTTTTAACAACCAGAACTAATAGAATGGCATATCCAGAAATGCAGGTGTTTGTATCTGCTGGATGAGTCAGATCCAGCAAAACAAATCACATTCACTATTGCCTCATGTTCCTCCCGTCACAGATATTAGTTGCAGCTTCTTCCTAATGCTTCTCTGACTCACTCTATAGACAGGAGAAAAAAAAAAATAAAAAAAAAATCAGTTGTTTTTTTTTTTTTTTTTTTTTGGGGGGGGAGGGCGGGAGGGAGGAAAAGAAAAACAGAGGGTGAAGGGGGTGTCGGATCCAGCTACACTTTTACTATACCTCTTTCTCCGGGAGATTGAGGATCAGGAAAACAAGGCTGTTATCCACTCACTGGCAGAGAGGCGCGTCTGTCTCCTGCTTTGCTGAGTGTTTTTAACCACCTTTCCTCAGTGTTATGTGTGAAATACATCAGAAATCTTTCATATTAAAAGAAAAAAAAAAGGAAAAACAACAAAAAAACCCACATAGGTTCCCAATACATAGCTCACAGATCTAGTTCCGAGCCTCAGTTCTGCACTGTTTGGGGTATTTTTCTCCTTTATTTGAGTCCGGACCCAAAGTACACAGTTAATTCTGCAACTTGTGGTAGAGAGGCTTTCAAAAGAAACAGAAGGAAAAGGAGATACTCTTCTTTGCCTCATTGGTGGGTGGCTCCCTCCGAACAGCCGGTCGCCAGTCTTAGCCAGGCAGCACACGGAGCCAACGCCGATCCCCGGCAAACCAGATCCATTGCACCAGCCGACCGCAGGGAAGCCGAGGATTCGGCGAAAATTCAACAGTTGGAGCCGCTCTCCCTCCTTCTCGCCTCCCTCACTGCAGTACCACCGGGCCCGCCCCTCCGCGCTCTCCCAGCGCCGCTAGCCGACTGCCTCTATTCACCTCACGCCGCGGCTTAAACATTGATACGGATTCCCCGCCAACCAATAGGCGGCGGCGGCGGCGACCGGCCCGCCAATGGCAGAAGGCGGGAGGTCGGCGGGGCGGGGCCGTGGCGGGCGCTGGGTGTCATTGATTAGCTTGGTTCGCTGGAGACGCGTAGTGTGTGCAGGGCTTGGGCGGGCGAGTTGCGGTGGTGACTGGTAGCCGCGCGCCGCAGCGCCGCGCCCCCGGCACCCTCTACCCCACGCTGTTTATTTATTTATTTACTTATTTGTTCCCACGCTGTTTATTTATTTTTAAGACATATCAATAAATCGTCCGCGATAGCGGGTGGGAAAGGAGGGGGAACGCGGCACCTCCGTGCTGCTCCAAAGCACTGCTCTGCACAGACCCAGCGCACCTCCTCGCCGCCCCAGAGACACATAGGCGAAGGGAGCAGAGGGGGACGGGGGACTTGTGGATGGGGAACCCCCCCGCCGGCGCCGACCTGGCGCACCCGCTCACCGCTCTAGGGATGTATAGGCGAAGGGAGCAGAGGGGGACGGGGGACTTGTGGATGGGGGAACCACCCGCCATCCCCGCCACGGCCCTGCGGGAGCCGCCGCGAGCGGGTCTCGCCCTCCCCGAGGGGCAGGTCCTGGCACGGGAGTATCCCCGGGGCCGCGGTGCGGGGGCGCCGGCGGCGGGCAGGGCTACAGCCCCGGGGTGTTGGGCACGGGGCCGCAGCAGTGCCCACTTCCCTTCCCTTACTCTTCTCCCCTTTCCCCACCCGCCCTCGCCGCGGCGGGAGGCTCTCGGTCAGTAGCGGCTGATAGAGGGGGAGTTGGGAGGGAACGACTGAGGCTGACAAGGTGGGTGCTCGGATTGTCGGAGCGCCAGTCTCGACCCGTGCGTACAGAAAAGAAGCTGCCGTTTGTGAGCTGTGAGTGACGAGCGTGTAAGTAGCATGAATCATTTAGGGAAGAAAAAAAAAAAAAAAACGACGGGGAGAAAAAAAAAAGAAATCAACTCTGGAGCAATTATAAGACGCTCTGTTATTTTAGGAGCTGCTCTTAAAAGATTCACTTAAGGAAGCCTTGCTCTGTAGGATAACCTGCCGCCCTGTATGAGTTACTATGTCCGCAAATATCATTTGACTTGGAGAAAATATTAAAAATGTATAAATTCAAATAAGTATTCTTCCTAGACCCGTCTTCCTGTCCTGAAGACCTGTTTGTAGCTTTGAAATGGATAGTTTGCCGTACGGAACGTGTCTGCTGGAAACCATTATAAAACTAATGCTGTGTTAAAATGCTGTATATAAATAAAGCATACATACATTAGTGGCAGCATAAAATCACTACTCTCAGACGTGCCAGCTTTCTGTGTGAGAGAGACAGACAGACGAAATAAAGGATATGTTTACAAAATGGGCTTTGCTTTCTGAATGAGGATTGGCTGATGGAAATCGGCGTGTTCAGCTAAGTCACTTACCTGGAGAAGTCCCCTATAGAAGCAGCACAATTTTAAAAATGTAATACAACCCAGAGTAAGACCCGGAGCTCCCAAGAGATCTAGTTTCACTGTAACTGGAGTCCTGTGCTTTCCTTCCCGTATTCCGTAGCCTATGCCAAACCTTCAGGATGTCCAGAGATTTTTCGATGCAATTTCTGCTAATTGGGTAAAAAAAAAAAAAGGGTCATTGCAATTATGTCCTGGCTCCCTCTAGCGTGCTAGAGGTACTGCTGCACTTGGGGTATATCCTCTGTGTGTGTGTGTGTGTGTGTGTGGTGTGTTCGGGTGTGTGAGCATACAGCAACACCAATTTCTGAGGCAGCAGGTGAGCACCGGCAGGAGAAAACGATAATTTCACTATTACAGTGGCAAATACTATGTAATGGATTTCTGACAATGTTGCTTCTGTTTTACTTATGTTTAAAAAAGTCACAAAACCCAAGATGAATTTTTTTTTTTTTTTTAAGTCTGATATCTCCATCACTTTTTTCTCCAGCCTAGTGAATGTCTTTCTTTTTTTATACTACTCAGCATTACACAATAAATACTCTGACTCCACAATGAAGTCAATACCTTTGAGGGCACTCTGCAGTTTGTAAAACAAGTACTCCAGACTCTGAATTAAGTGAAAAACTATATAACCCTTTATCCAAGTAATTAGAGGTTTTGCTTGTAAAATCTACTTTTCTTCTTCTTTTTTTTTTTTTTTTGTCAAACATCTTGCAGCTTGCAGCATCCCATTGCTATCATCGACATGCAGGGAATACTTGGAAGAAAAATAAAATCTACATCACTAGCAGTAGATCCTCAAACTCTGACTGATTACCAGGGATCACAAATGAAACATCCTCAGCCACACAGGTCACTGTGGGGTTTAGTGTTCTCTTCAATAGAGTTACTTTTCAATACTCATTTTTAGGTATGGCTGATTATTAGCAATTTCTAATGATTTATTGGAAATTATATCATCTTGACATCTTTAAAAATTGTGGCTTTTAAACTCAATAGAGACTTAGGTGTCTAACTGGAAAAAGCCATATAAAAAATTGTGCCTGCATATGAATATATGCCTCTGCCAGGCTGATGTTTGTTACATTAGGCAGTTTATAACAACAAAATGGCATGTATTGATTTTAATCCACCTGTGCAAGTAATGAATATTTTATTTGTTCGATAATTTTACCATATATCTAAAATACTTTTACTGTCAAATTTGCAGCACACACTATATATTTGATAGCTTAGACTGGCATCATAATTTTCTATACATTCATCCGGAAATAGCTGTATTTTTCACATAGAGAAGTCAGAAGTAAAATGTGTGAAGGTAATGCCAATGAGTTGCAATAACATCTATGTGCTGTGTCAGGTCATTGTGTATTGAATATAGAGTGTATATTTATTTGGTGTCAGAAAAAAAAAATTAAGAATGCTTATTAACAACTCAGTGAGAAAGCTATACTGTGGAGAGGTTAATACATAGGCAAAATGCAAATCCTTAGTGACTGGAATGCTCATATAGAAGGCTTATAGTATCTGACAGATCAAGAAAACACACCGTAAAAGAGCTCAACAAAGTAGTAAAGTCCAGTATAACAGCCTTTACAATAAGTTATATATAGAAGGGATAAATTATGCTTTGTAAAACTACTTTTCAATACTTGAAATGTTTGTTTATTGGAAGCTTTATTTTGACATCAACCAAAATAACAGTTAGTAACAGGACACATCTCAGCTTCTTAAAAATGCTTATTAGTCATGAACATAATAAAGCAGTATTCAGAATTTTCTGGGAAAGTGTGCATAACGAAATCTGGTATTTTATTAATCTATCCTCAGCAAAGACAGGTAAACTTTCTACTTTCAAAAAAAGGGAAATAAATAAAAAATATCCTCAATCTGAACTTCTGAAATGAAAATCACAGTCTCAGCATGGAAGGTACTTAAGCATAGTACAAACGTCTCAGAACAAATATCCCTAAAGAAATAAAAGAAAATACGAAGGCAAGGAAAAGATCAATATAGTTAAATGTCAAGGTTCAATATTTAAGTTATTTGAGCTTGAAACGTATCATTGGGAAAGCCCAAATCCAATCATCTTGAAAACGATAGAAAGAAGTAAAATTAGAAAGGCCAAGGAGGGAATTTGAGGAACAAAGAGTCCATATATAAGAGAATGGATTACCTGCTATAAAGCAAACATACGCTTTGCCAATATGAGGAAGCTATGGCAGAACTGGCAGGCCTATCAGTTGGCCAGCTATAAAAGAAAAAGTATTGCAAAGAAATTAAATTTTGGTACCCTAGCACTCTTAGTAAATGAAGACATTTCCTCAGGTCAACTTTTTTTTTAGTAACAAAGATGATATGTGGGTGTGTACTCATGTGTCAATAGTGAGATCCTTAAAAGGCAAAAAGCATCTAACTAATGGTAGTCATCAAGGGTTCTTACAGAATCTGAAAATGAGCTAAATGAACTGTTAAAAATATGCAGCCATTAAGATCAGTTACTCTGTATGAAGATTAAAAGGCACAAAATATGTTTGTCTTTTAGAAAGACTAAAAGGGTGATCAAGAAATAATGGCATGGCAAGCTTTACTTTTCTCAGTAGTATAAAAATCAGTTAAAATGACAATTAAAAATAGAAATTATATAGCATCTAGACAAAGGTATGATAAGTACTGTCCAAAAACTCAATGAAATCAATAGAAACCTTTCCACTGTTTTGATTCATCCCATAATAGCAAAGTAGCACAACTCACATAGATTAAAAGGACATTTCTTCTGTTTAGTAGTATTGTTTCAAAGTAGCAACAGAACAATAGATAAAATTACTTTTATTGCTTTGTGTGTAAGAAGTTTTATGTCAATGTAATTGTGCGTCCACACTAGCAAGACATGTAGAAGAGGGGATTCTTGCTGAGAAAGGGAATATGAGATAATAGTGCAGTAGGTATAAGCAGGAGAGGGTAGGTGTCTGCCAGTGGTGTTAGTAGACTAATTGAGAGGTGGGGCCAAGAAGAGAGAGAAATAGGAAAAGGGTGGTGGAGGGGGACATAGAGCTATTTAAAAAAGACTTCAAGGAAAGGGAATTAGCAAGTGGGAGCTAAACCCGGGATTGTCACTGAAAGAATTGATACCTACAGCTTCTATCTAACTGGGAAGTATTTCATTTGCAGTTTTACCTGTGTCATTTGGGAAACAAACAAATGAACACACACATTAGGCTTACAGAAGGAGAGACTTGTTAGGTCACAGATAAGTGGCTTTGGACTTGGATTCTCATGCCTCTTTTCAGGCATGTTATCTAATGACTGTTTAGCACAGAATACAGAAACATGACTTTTTTAAAAGTCATTTTAATGAAAACAGGATACACTGAGATCAAACCCAGCATGCTTCAAACAGACTAAGTAGAAGTTTCATTAATTATTAAAAAAAAAAAAAACTAAAAGAAAAAAAAAGGCAATTTATTGCAATCTAATGAAAACCAGTTTCCTTCAGGTGTGCCTTTAATTTTCCCA